GAAATTCCCACTCTGTTTTATTCTCTCGCACCAATTTCAGACGTTCGCTAGCACACGCCGTCATTGGTGACGTGAACTTTTCTGGCGATCCTAACAGCAGATACGCACTCCCAATCTTAATTTCGTTATTTGCACTTGTAGTTAGGTGGTTGTTACGTCTGTGACCGTTTCCAATATTTCTGCGTCGCTCTTTCCATTTGGCCACTTTGAGTTTGCCCATGGATACTCGCGTTGTTATTTACAAGAACACAGGTTAACTGTTTTTTTCTTATGTCCGTTTCTACACGCACGATCTCATGTATATGCGCTTAAAAGCTGCCTTATTCAGTCAAGTCGCTTTAGTGTTGTCCAGCAACAGAGGGCTTACCACTGTGGGTGAAATAACGACAGGAAGCACGCAATATGTCTTCAATGGAGACGTGACTGAACGTCAAGAATTCGTCTACTCATGATGCCCTTCTCGGAATCACATGAGTTGACGAAGAAACTTTACTCGCCGAGGTCATTCTGACGATGTGTTGTGACCTTCAACCATCTTTTGCGAACTGTTTCTTGCACGTGTTTATCCCATAGGCGTTTAGCCAGTAACAAGGTAAAGATCCTGAAAATCAGCGGTTCCGGCTCACTGAAGTGACACGGGCCGGTCACCTTGCTTGCAGCTCACAACTTCCCAAGTTGAGCATCAATCCTTATTGATCTGTAGACCTTAATTGATGGGGTATTTTCACGAATAACTTGCTCAGGTGATCAAGAGTCCTACTATTTGAGCGTATTCACTTGACTTCAATTAGAACCGAGTCGAGAGAACTCGTGCGTGAAAATTCTACATGATCCTACCGATTTTCAGTGTGTCTGATGATCCGCTTATGTTGGTTTTGCTTCGGACTGATTGCTTTCTACTGATCAGTTTCTGTTTTCGCTAAGGGGAAGTGTTTTTTAACAACAAAAATGCATGACGGAAAAATTTGGAAAAGATGGCTGCTATAGATTTGTTTTAAACGGCCCTGATTCATTCAAATTTTTTGAACTTTTCATAATTTCTTCTAACAAAATATGGTATTCTTCACAGGAAACGGGTGACAAGAACGTAGGTTTCATACTGGGTGATGACGTAGCCCTCCCTGTGCCATGCGTGCGGTATCGCCAGCGCATGCTACTTGCCTCTTTCGCTCTATTAGTTGCACTTCGCTGTGTGGATGGATGTGCCGCTCGAATTGCTCTCTGTTCTGCCTGTGCATTTGTTTCCTCCTGTGTGTTCTAGCCTTAAGCAGGTTATTTGCACTTTGCATGTCTTTTTAACCCCGGTTCTTAAGTACAAGAGCCTTCCAAGCTTGCAAGATACTTTTCCACCCTCCATGTTAATTTTGCACTGCTGTCGATTCCAACCTACGAACCTTTATTGTGTAGTCGGCCAGTACGCATTGTGCACCACAGATATGGGAAAAAATCCCACGTATCTGTATGGAGTACATTGTAGGGGTTATGACCAAAATACGTGAATTGTATTCAGTGGAAAGCTTCTGCTATCCATAGATTGATAGTTTGCATTTTTGTTAGTCACACGGTCAAACACTTTCCCAGTTCGGAAGTATACTAACCATGTCGTATTCACTAGCACTCGCCTCCAGCTGAATATTCAAAGTTGGCGTGTTTTTCAATTCGCTTTCAATTCGTTGAATGTCGACCACTGTTGATGGTTTGGCTCCTGTGGAAAAGGTTGTCAGAGGTAGTAGAAAGAGTACCATGATATTTGTAAAGTAGTACGAGGTGTGTACACATCCTCTGGTTGGTGTGGATGAAACTCTAGGGAGATTTTTGTAGATCTAGTGTTGTCGCTGAGTGTTGTTCCTCCTGAGTTTAATTCAGCAGCGGTATAGGTTAGATTTGCAACGTGTTCCATGCATGATTTCCAGTTTGTTACCCCACCCTTTGCACAATTATTGAATGTCTGCATAAGTGTTTGTTTCGGAGAAATCGAAAAAACAGCGGTCTTAATCGTTTGTTACATGGAAATTGGAATATTGCATGGACATTTTGCTTAGAATTGTCGCTGCGTGCTGCTATGCCAGTTAACCAGCGCACACTGTGATTTTGTGAGCCAGCTTTTGGCTCTCTTAGTTGCTTTTGCCACGTTATGACCATGCGCAGGTCCCCTTTTTTGCCTCTCCAGGCTTTCCCTCGTTTCGATTATGCATACATTGTTGGATGGATTTTCCATCCCCTTCTGACCGTGCTCATACAAATTCCAGTTGATCGTTAAGTGGGTTACCTTTCCATCGATTGTACAGAGGATCATCACGTTTGTGCGACAGCTACTCAATCAATTGTAAATTTGCTTTAAACCACAAATACCTCTCTGAGATGCTTTTGGTGGCGTTCGTTTCTGTGATTGGATAGCATGCTGTAACGTACACCATCTGTTATCTGTTTAATAGGCGTTCAGCCACGAATTCCTTTCCTCCCCACTTGACAGTCCCAATCCTCGTATAAATCATGAAACTGATTGGCTCCTCGTTAGGCATTCGAAACGACAAATGTGATCACATTGGAGAAGAACGAAAACTGCGTACCTTGCGATGTCAGGCATAGCCAGCCGGTTGTGTTCTCAAGGGGCCGTCAGTTGGAACCACTATTCGTGGTAACAGCATGCAGTTTACGGGGACTAAGCAATAGACTCATCAAAAAGTGTTTGCCCACTAGAAGTTTTACAAATGGCTCTTATCCATATTCTTCTCCCCCATAAACTCTTATCACATGTCTGTGGGTGTTTCAAACAACCAGAGTGAGACTGTGGCCCAGTCTATTGTGCGCCCGTTTATTCTGTTGACTGGTAACTTCGTAAAGCTGTACAGTAGTGTGTACAGTAATGCTCTCAAGAGGGACCACTACCTAGGTACTTGGATCTCCTGAAGAGAGAACTTTCCTCTGAAAGGATCTCACCTAGATTATGACCGACAGGACAGGGCTTCCTAGAAAAGTTATCCTTGTTTAGTAGGATCTACTCTAGTGATATCTGTTCAATCATTTCTGATACACTCCGTACTCCACAACGTACAACTTCTGTTCCAGCTCAAGCTTTTATCGCCATACTCAAATACACATGTTCCAGCTGCCTTTAACCGTATAAACCGTAGTCTGGTCCATCCTAATAAACAGGTTTTGGTAAACAAACTTTGATAAGCTGCATGTTCTTTGCTATCACTTAATCAATCAGTGCCAGATTTTCGGTCAGTGACCTCAGTCAGGGTTTGATTTGTGCAGAAATTTGTGACAGTTTCACTAACCTATGAACTGCTCATACCGCTCAGTTCTCCATATTGTGTGGTGAACTACAAATCATTTGGATTGACTTTTCTGTAATGTCCCCATATCTGCCCTTTTCTTGTCACCCAAAGGCGCTGATTCAGCCATTGAACGAAGCCCAGGTTGAGGCGCTCAAGCGTGCATTTACCAAAGTTGCCGGTGTAGATGGAGAGATCGATAGCGAAGAGCTGCGTGATATTTTGAATGTAGCCTTCACCAGAGGTGAGTAGTATTCATTCACTAAAATAATGTATTCCAAGTGAATTGGAGCCAGGGCCTTCTCGTGTGGCGTGTGGGTAACGACACATTTTTCCAATGTTCAGGGAAACATCTGAGTTGTTTGATACGACGGCATAATCCTATTGCGTTCCTCAAGCACTATCATTTGCACATTATTCTGGTTTTAACGGGAGGCTCGACTGACATATCGAATGCCGTGCCAAATGAAACATCAGGTGACTTAGTGCAACACATACAGTCGCTTAGGAACATGATCGACAAGAGATTCAGCTGGGTTCCCGGTGAGTTTCCCGTCAGGTGATAGGTCATGAATGCTCGTGGTCTGAATTTCAAGTGTAATTTACACTGGTTCATACGATTGGCCAGGTAGTCATCCTAAAGACATGAGATTCGCGTGAAAAGAACATTTGCAAGTACAGCGAGATTCCTCAATTGGGAAAACCCACTGAGTGAACCAAAATTTCCGTGAACGCGTGTGGGTGTTCTTTCTTCAGAGGGTTTTGTGGATAGAAATCCGAACATCTGGTAGCAATGCTACCAGGTATGCTAAGCCCACCTGACTTGATGGCACACAGGTATATAGGAAGCGAATTTATCAGTTTACCAAGTCCTTCACTTTATACGGGGTTTGGCGGCTGACATTCGCACCATGTTATATCTACGTTGCAAATAGGGAAAGTTCCATGACAGTTATGCGTCTCTTTCTTCTGAATACTTGGTTATTTTGCTAGACATCAGGGGTTCTCTATTGGGAATTTCTCCATTTGTATAATTTCTTTTATACG